GTATGGACGTGGGGGTGGATGGTGGGTGCCTGGCCCCCGCGGCTCCGGCTGTGGCTCTGGCAGGGTTTGCAGAGACAGGAGCCAAAGAGACACCCGGGGTGCGGGCGCTTGGCGTTTATTAGACACCAGCTGAGCGGGGATGGCAGAAACCAGGCGGCCACGGGAGCAGTGGCTTGGGCGTCTGGTGCCGGCTAGAGCCGGGTGGCACCATGCGGAGGTGGGCAAGGGGAGCCCACCCGGACGGCAGGGCCGGGCACCTCCTCGGGGTAGGAGAGCGCTGGGTTGTCCAGCCCCAGCCTGGCCTTGTCGCGGGGAGGACCCTCGCGTTCCTCCCAGCCCTCGGGGCTGCGGCAGCGGTCGGTGCAGCAGAGGGTGGCCCGGGTGATGAGCCGGTCGAGGGGCTGCAGCGAGTGCATCCAGGCGGGGAGGAAGTCCCAGGTCTGCAGCCATTTGGGCAGGCGGCCGGGGCTGCGCGCCTGCAGCGCGTTCACCAGCCCCACGAAGAAGAGGAGGCCGAGGAAAGGCGTGCCCACCCCCACCAGCGCCTGCCAGCCCGCCATGGAGATGCCGAAGATGAGGGAGGGCAGCAGGAGGAAGCAGACGATGAGGTACAGCACGGCGAACCAGCGGTACTTGGCCGTGCGCTCGCCCAGCGCCTTGGCCATGCGGATGGGCAGGCGGGTGAAGGGCAGCGGGTACCACAGCAGGATGCCGGAGATGTTGAAGAAGAAGTGGCAGAGGGCGATCTGCGGGGATGGCATCCCCGTCGGGCCAGGCACGCAGGCTTCCCCCAGCCCCTCTCTTGCCTGGTGCCCCCCCGCCAGCCCGACCATGGCCCTGGGCTGCCAGTACCTGGAAGGAGCTGGCCAGCTTGTCCCCCGGGCTGGCCAGGGCGGCCAGGATGGCGGTGGTGGTGGTGCCGATGTTGGAGCCCAGGGTCAGCGGGTAGGCGCGTTCTATGCTGATCACCCCCAGGCCTGCGGGAGAGGCACCCCATCCCGTCCCATCGCTCCTCGCCAGCGCCGTCCCCATGCTCTCCCAGGGAGGCATGGCTCCGAGCACCCCAGCACCCACGGGCTGTTGTAGGGGAGACTGGCATGTGCCAGGGGACCAGGCTTGGCTGGGACTCACCGATCAGGGGTGTGATGGCCGAGGTGAAGACAGAGCTGCTCTGCACCACGAAGGTCATCCCGGCGCCCACCACCATGGCGAAGTACCCAGTGAGCCAGCTGAGCGGGTGCGGGAGGTCTGCCACGGCATGGCCATGGCCATGGGCATGAGCATGGACACGGGCACGGACACATCAGCTGGGAGCAGCCCAGAGCTCCTGCATGGTGCTGGGGAGGGGGCTGTGGGGCCAGGCTCTGGGTACGGAGTCAGGCTGTGGGTCCGGGGTTGGCCTGGTGGCCAGGATGGCTGGGGAAGGAGGACGTGGACACCAGGAGGCCATGACAGCCGTAAGTAGAGGGGGGATCAGGGGCAGGCAGGGGACATGGGGGTCCAGGCAGGGCTGGGAGTTAGGGGCAGCCAGGGATGGGTCTGAGGTTGGCAGGTGGGGATGGGGATGGCGATGGGTGGCCGTGGGCCAGGCAGGGTCCCATCCCACTCACCCCATGGCGGTCCCCGTCCCACTCACCAGTGTTGATGACCTTCTGGATGGCTTTGGCCACCTGCCCCTTGAGCAGGGAGTTGAGGAGTTTGACCAGGAGGATGAGGCAGGTACAGAGCACGATGAGGGACCCGGCCAGCAGCACCAGCCCCACGGCCAGGTCGGGCAGCGGCGTGTCGGTGAAGAGGTGCTCGCCTGCCCCACAGCACGGCTGGGCGAGGGGCTGGGACCAGCCCAGCCCCGCTCACAAACCTGCCCCCCCAGGCAGCCCCACACCTGGACCTCAGACCCAACATCTCCCAGCCCTGCCCCACATCATGACTCCGGCCCCATGCCCAGCACCCCTCCATCCCACATAAAGCCCCCCAGCCCCACCTGCACCTCCTCAGCCCCGTGCCCCGTGCCCCCAGCCCCCCGCACCCACGGCAGCCGTCTGCAGGGAGAGGGTGGGCTGCAGCCGGCTCCAGAGCATCCTCGGCCAGTCCCTGCCCACCATCCACCCTCCCTGGGATCGTGTGATGGCCCCAGCAGGGCCACGGGCCCCTCACCTGTGGGGGTGCGGGGCCACACCAGACACGGATGAGGCTCCGGTTGCGCAGGCTCTCGTCCCCCGTTGCGATGCCCGTGATCACCGACTTGTCCAGCTGCAACAACACACACGTTGGAGAGGGCCCCTGGGGGCTGACAGCACCCCCAGCTCAGGGACATCTTCACTGGGATGGGGACACCACTGCCAGCCTGGGGACACTTGGACACAGCCACCGTCAAAGGGACACCAGTGCTGGCGACGTCACCACCCGCACAGGGACAGCAATGCTGGGGGACCACCACCAGCCTGGGGACACCACTGCCAGCCTAGAGACACTTGGGCATGACCACCACTGGCACTGGAGACATCACCACCAGCACAGGGACACCAGTGCGGGGGGACCACCACCAGCCTGGGGACACCACGGCTGAGGAGACCTGGATGATGAGCTTGGTGAAGGGCTCCGTGATGATCTTCAGCAGGTCGGGGGCGTCCTTGCCACTGCGGATGTTGAAGGTGGCCACGACCAGGCGGGTGACGTGGTGCAGGTACCCGCTCACCACCTCCAGCGGCAGCAGGACCAGCACCGACAGCCAGTTGAAGCAGTCATGGACCGTGGCGCCGGCGAAGGCTCTGCACGAAGGAGCCCGTTGGCATGGGGTGGCCCCCGGGGAGCAGCCCCCAGCCCCCCTGGTCCCCTCTGCCCCCACCAGCTCTCACCGTTTGAACTCACTGCGGTCGCCGGCCTGCATGAGGGCCACGATGGTGTTGGTGACGGAGGTGCCAATGTTGGAGCCCATGATGATGGGGATGGCAGAGCGCACCTCCAGCACTGGGAACAGAGAGACCCGCTAGCCCTGCATGGCCCAGCGCGGGGTGACCCCGTCCGGCCACCCCATCCCCCAGCCTCAGGTCCCGGGGAGCCCCACGGGCACACTCACGCCCCGAGGAGACCATGCTGACGATGATGGAGGTGGAGGTGGAGGAGCTCTGCACCAGCACGGTCACCAGGATGCCCACCACCAGCCCGGCCACCGGGTTGGAGAGGATAGCGTTGTCCTTGAAGATGTCCCCGGCCACCTTGCCTACGAGAGAGCGTGAGCGGCAGGGTGCCGGCACGGTGGGTGCTCCCAGCCGCCCAGGTGCCCCCGCCACCCTACCTCCGGCCAGCTGGAAGGCAGAGCTGAGCACGTCCAGGGAGCACACGAAGAGATACAGGAACCCAAACATCAGGGGCACCTTGAGAAGGGAGACACAGATGGACTGGACCCTGGCCCAGCACCCCAGCTCTGCGCAAGACAAGAGAGAGTGTTAATGCCACTGGCAGCACGGCCCTGGCTCCCCAGGCTCCCGCAGCTCCACGCCATCCTCCTGTGCCCCCAGCAGGATGGGGCTCGTGTCCCCAGCCGTGCCACCGCTCCCTGGGTCCCCTCCACATCCTCCTTGTGCCGACCACCCCCGTCGCCCCTTGGCTCTGCCTGTGGCACCCCGGGGAGCCCAGGGTGTCCCCTGCTGGCAGGCAGCCCACCGCGCTGGGGGTCTGGCTGGGGTGCCAGCGCGAGGACTGGCACAGCGGGGCAATGGGGAGGAATTGCTGCCAGTCCCAGGGGCAAAGCTTGGGCTCTCCTGGCACCCCGTGGCCCCCCTGGGTGCCTCCGGCAGGTCTCCAGGGTGCTCCCCAACTGGGGTGCATCGTGTCTTGGAGGGCACTGCTCGCAGGTCTCACCTGGCTTCTGCAGCTCGTCCAAGCCCAGCCGGGGCCCCTGCCAGGGCAGCGCCTCCAGCTCGTATCGCTCCCTGCCCTCGCCCAGGCGCCCCGGGGAGCCGGGGCAGGGGAAGCCATGGTCAGGGCAAGGCACCGCACTGACGGTGAAGGGGCAGGCGTGGGCACCTGGCAGCCGGTGCAGAGCTGGGGAGAGGGGGAACCCGCGTTACGGTCCCATCCTTGCGGGGACCCCCCTGCAGAGGAGAGCCGGGCACCGCTTGGGCCAGGGTCTGGCCAGAAGCAGAGCTGAGCCCAGCAGGGCGAGGAAGAGGAGGAGGAGGGCTGGGGGCACCTACCTTGGGGGCTGGGGCAGTAGGCGAACTGAGGCCCATGCACCACCCTTCCTCCCCGCACTGGGCAGCGGGGCAGGGCCGGGCTCTCCCTCCGGTAGGGCAGCATCGCTCCTGCTGAGGCTGAGCAGAGGCAGCCGCGCGTCACCACGGCCGAGCCACGGCTGTGCCGCGCCGACCGCCACCGGCCCCCAGAATCCCCGTGGAGCTGGCACCACCGAGGAGGACCATCCCATCACCTGATGGGCCACCAGCTGCTGCCACGCCACCCCAGTGAGCTCCCGCAAGGGCAGGCAGCCCGGGTGGAGGGGACTCGGGGAGGGGACCCCTCCTGCCCAGGGCCCTGCTCACCTGGGGCTGGCCAGGCACTCAGGGCAGCGCCATGTCCACATGCCCCATCCACGCGTCCCCTCCAGCGAAGTGGCCCGCGGGGCACCACAGCGCTTTATACGCACGCCAAGAGCAAAGTCTAAGGAGCCCCGCGTTGCCCCTCGCCTCCACTTGCCACTCACCTCCTCCCCAGAAATTCCTGCAGTTAATGGGTAACCCCGCGGCATCCCACGTCAGCCGCGGCCCTGGGGCAGGATGGGGCACGCTCCCCCGGGGTACCGCGCCGCCAGCACACCCCACCTCGCCTGCCCGAGGCTCAGCATCACCCCTGGGCGAGCAGCAGCCGGGTGGTGGGGAGCGAAGCCGGGGCGGTGCTGGAGCAGCCTCAGCTCCCCATCACTTGGTGCCAGGTGCTTCATCCCCTGCACAAGAGGAAGAGGAGGAGGAGAAGGGCTCGGCGCTGGCACTGCTGGGTTGTCCCAAACTGGTGGTGAGGCCATGCACACATCCATCATCCTTGGAACCATCAGCATCAGCCGTGAGGGACCTGGCTTTTCCCAGGGCGCACGCCGTCCTCACCGCCAGGGCATTGGCGGTGGGTTACGTCAGCATCGGCGCGGTCCCCGTGTCCTGTCGCTGGCGGTGACAGTGGCACGCGGCCCAGCTCAGCCCGTGCCAGCGGCTCAGCGTGGAGCAGCCAGCGGCACTGCAAGGGCTGCGTGGGGCAGAGCCCGCGTCTTCCCAGCATGTGCGATGCCGGGGCAGGCAGGAGCAGAGCGACACCAGCGTTGCCGTCACCACCTCCTCGACACCGTTTATCATTACCCGCTGTTTATGCATCTCCGGCCAAGTTTCCATCCGCCCACGAGGTGCCCGAGCAGCTCATGTCCACATCTGTCCAGGGGAGGGCCAGGGGCAAAGGCCCCTCTGGCCCTGGCGCCCGTGGGGAGTGGGGCACGGAGGGGCTGCGCGGCTGTCACATCCCCGTTCCTCTGGGCCCATGCACTCCTGGGTCCCACCACCACGGACAACCAGCCACGACTGTATGGGGGGAGCACGTGGAGATCCCTTGGGTACCCTGGGGTGCTCGGGGACAGCCTGGGGACACGCCAGCCTGGGGACCTCCCTGCCACTGCCGGAGCATCGCCGAGCCTCTGCCAAGTCGCAAACTGATGGAGCTGAATGCTCAGGAGGTGCCATGGCAGGGGACACGTCCTGCCTCTGCGGGGGCCCGGGGACCCTTCTGACCCTTCTGTTTGTGGACAGTGGCACCCTCACAGCCCTGTGCCAGGCTGCAGCGGGCAGGAGGCTGGCGTCCGCACTTGCCCCGTGCCCGGAGGCTCTTAGCCAGTTGCCCCCACAATCATTAACCCAGTGAGGCCCTGGCAGCTCCAGCTGTCACTCATTGACAGGGTTGGGGCTGAAGTCCTTGGCCGTGCCGGCCCCGCAGCTTCCCATCAGCGGTGCCGCGAAAACAAGCTCCTGGCACTGCCCCTTGCTGTGGCACCGGGACCAAGGGCTGGCTCCAGCCCTGCCCTGGCCTGGGGGCTCCGTGGGGTACGGGGGGGGCTGGGGGGACATTGCTGCCAAGAAAAGCACCGTCCGGCCTCGGCGGCGGAGGAAGGAGAGGGACGTGCACGCAGGCAATGCTCTTTATTTCCCCTGGTTTCACACCACAGACGGGACTGAGCAGCACCACGGAGACACAGGAGGGCTCTGACCAGGGCCGCGGGGCCGCAGCCGGCCGCGGCAGTGTGGGGCTGGGTGGACAAGCCCCCTGTCCCTGGGCGAGCCCTGGGGCTGCCCTGGGCCACCCCTCTGCCTCTGGCCGGGCAGTGGTGACAGAGCGGTGACCCAGGGCCCCGGCACACGCAGATGATGGAGGGATCTCCTGGCTGCTGTCAGGGGGGCTGTCTCTGTTGCAGACTGCGTCTGGGACCTCTGGGGACATGGGGCTGCCGGGCGTGGGGACCCGCAGGGCACGGCCAGGTCCAGCAGAGCCGAGCCGGGCTCAAGGTTACAGCCCAGCACAGCTGCCGGCAGGGATGCCAGGCTGGGCACAGGCTGGGTACCCGCACACCAGGCAGGCCTGTCCCCGAGGGCCGAGCACCCGCAGCCCCAGCCGGGCTGGGGCAGGGGACCTACGGGGATCTGCTCCTGCGGGTCGCTTCAGCAACCACCCACGCAGGGTCAAGGCTTCTTTGGCACGACCTGCTGGCTCTGCCTCTGTCTGCTCGGGGCAGGAACCAGGTGCCCCGCTCCACAACAGCAGCACTGTCGTGGCAGGATCAGGCCCAGCCGCGCTCACACAATGCAGACAGTAACACAGGGCCAGGGCACCGTCCAGCAGGGCCATGCTCACCCTCCCCGGGAAGGGCGGACCCGCACATCGACAACAGGGCAAGCCCTGCTCCTGCGGGGTCAGGGATCAGATCCAGCCCTCGGCTCCGGACACACGTTCTCCTGACCCTGCCTGCCCACAGCACCGGGGTTCAGGGCTGAAGCCGGCCTTGCCACCCCACCCACCCTCTCTATCCCGCACGCCCTTCAGTTGGAAGGGTGCTTTCCCCACCCGAACAGTCAGCAGGGCTGTGCCAGCCCAGCACAGGCAGGATTTGCTGGGCGGGCAGCTCTGCCGCAGGCAGAGGCACCGGGCAGGGCAGCGCCAGGCATGCGTGGGATGTTGCAAAGTGCTTTGCAACAGGGGGTTCAAACTATGTACAAGACTCCCTTGACGTGCACCAGGATGGGACCCCACCGAGGGGTATGGCAGCTGCTCAACCACTCACAGCGACACGACACGACAGTTTGGGACGGGACGTGGATGAATCTGCGGTCCGGGCAGTGTCGGCGGTGCAGGGCAGGGGCCGGTCGGGCCCTGTGTTGAACCCCGGCGTGGCCCGGGGGTACCACGCGCCAAGTGCGGACGTGCAGCAGGACTCATCGGAGCTCACGGTCGACCGGAGGCTGAGCCGGCACGGGCTCTGTGGGCTGAGGATGGCCGTTTCCCTCAGAGCCTGGGTGAGGGGCGCGGGGCTGATCCGACCCTTCGCAGGTGCTGTTGTCCTGCCTGGGGAGCTGGAGGAAGTCAGGCAGGACCAGGTCCTCCTTGGAGAGCAGCCCACGCTGGTCGTTGGCCCGGCAGCTCTGGGCACGG